GCCTGGGCAGCTGCCAGTGACACCCATGGAGCCCTCTGCTCCTGGGCAGGTTCTACTTACCACTCGTGCCACCAAACCATCCTCTACACCGTGCAGGTGCCATAGAAGTATACAAGTCAAGATTCTGCATTGATGTTGGTGCGGTCAATGATCACCGAGATCCCCTGTCACGAATATGATCATGTGCAGAGATACAGTGAAGACAATTTGCTTTGCCTATTTTATAGAACGCGGATGCCCAAAGCAAGAACCACATCTTCAGTCAGTAGATGTCAGTAGGAAACTTGGTCTGGTCGATCTGGACAACGCTTCCAACAGATGTGCACGAACCAGCTTTACAAGTTTGAAGCATTGAGGGCCACTGTTGAATTGCGCAAGCGAGCTGCGCAGAGTTTGGTGCTCGTCAACATGGACACAACTCGGTTTGTGTCGACCTTTCGCGATGCGGGGCATGAAACAGCACGAGGCTGCTGTGTCGTGAGCTTGTTAAGTCATCTTGGCTTGATCATGTTTGATGGCTAACTGGATGTGCAAGTCAAGTGAGGACGCAGGCCGTAGCTACATTGTCGCGACTTTGAATGGAAATCGAAAGCTTTCGTCACCGTCTGCTCGGAATCGTCGCAGTTTCCGGGAATGCAGTCCGCAAATTCGTTATGGTAGGTTGCCGACGTCCTACGCATATCGGTTCCGCAGTCATCGCTTCGAATATCTTCGCAAACAGTGACAAGGCAAGTTGTTCGAGCGATCCGCCTGGCTCAAGCAGGTCGATGCTGCACGGACACAGGCTTCTTTACCTGAGCCAGCATCGCCCCGCCTGCGTTCTTTCTGGGCCCATGGCAGCTATGATACGCTATGACTGTGGGGTTGGCATTCCGCCTGAGGCTCAGACTGCGAAGCAAATCCTGACACACGCCTCGGCTGGCCGCTCGTCTTAATGTACTGCAAGTTTCTTGGTAGCAGTAAGCGTCCTACGCCTCCAGGGCATCCCCACCCTGTCCTCGGAGCCTTGCAAGGGTGAGCCAAAAGCGGAGGACTGCCGTGAGACGTCCCGATTACATGCCTGCCGGTGGGCCAAGACGGTCGGCGAAGGTCGACTTGCCGCAGCCAGGCAAACCCACGAGAATCAGCACAACCGGCGGATCTGGCCGAGAGCCTGAAACAAAATCTGTGAACTAGCGACTGCAAGTTACAAGTTCCTATGTTCGGATCGAGCTGTTTATGCTGTGCAAACAATGGGCCAAGGTAACGATCTCCAGTGCGGGCGAGGTTGTCGACAGCAAAACTGGAGGCACAAGGGCTAGGCCCTAGGCTTCAGGTTTGCCGATATCTAACTATTGCCCCCTTGCCTGGGATGCAAATCGGCTTCTCCGGCGATTTCGCTAAGGAGTCGCCCAGACCGCTGAGGCGGGCGACCTTCACACGGAGCTTGCAGGCTGTGCAAATCCGGAAGCCGCAAGCCGCATGCCCATGAAGTGATGGGTTGCAGACGCCTTCTTGGGTGGGCCCTCGGCAGTGCCTGATGATGTGCTTCGACCGCAGCAGAAATGAACACACCGCCACGCTGCCTGCTTCACTCGGACCTCCGCCAGCAGGCCCAAAGTAGTCGCGAGTGTGCGTAAACCTGGAAGGGTCTAAGTGGGCCAAAACGTGGGAGGTCTGTGGACGTCTCCGCAGCCTGACACCCACTGCTTTGGCAAACTCTGCATCATCTGCAGAATGCTCACCTGCTCCACCTGAACAGAACGACAGCTCACTCTTTAGTTGCATTTCCAAAGAATGCGCAATGCGAGTAAAGAGAAGCCACATGGAGCCACAACGAAATAGCTCAACATATTGCACGCCTGCAGCATCTCCGATGTAAAAACTTTCTGCCAAGTCTATGGCCACGCCATTGACCTCCGTACACCCGAGGTTCGGGATGTCTCAACACTACAAGAGACGTTCAAGAAGCTAGGAGGAGAACCTTCGCAAGGTGCTCCCACATGCCAGTGTTTGGCTTGCGGTACTTGTCGCGCTGTGTTGATGCAATAACCTTCCCAGGGGAGCCACGAACCATGCATTGACAGTGGCTGCGCACGTCAGAGCCGTACATCGAGGGCCCAGCAAGTATGGGCACTTCTAGCTTCTTCGCGAAGTCGTCCTCGGCAGACACCATGTGATGAGGGATCGAAGGCAATAAGCAAATAGCTCAAGTTGTGCACGGGCATTGGGGGCTGGCTGCTGGCTTCCCAAGTCGTGCCAGGGTTCAACGTAGCCCTTGAAGGCTTCGGCTCTCTTCCCGTCCAGCGCACTCCTCTTTTGCCAGTCCCCACAAGGGAAGTCTGCGGTTCGCACTCCACCGATGCCATCTCAGTCTCCTGATGTTCCCCTGGTTGGTGAAGATCACCAGCCTCTGGGAGCCGCACAGCCGCACACTCTTGCAGCTCAGCACCCAGCCTCCCTCCCGGGCCTGAAGCCCTGCTCGTGCAACTGCGCGACTCTTCTCGGGACCCTGCACCCCAGCAAAACCCACGAGATAAGAATTAGAATAGGGTTTTGGGGCCCTTTATACTATACTAGGAGCCCCCCAAAATAGTGTTGGTAATTATTATATAAAGAAGCACTGCTTTGGGCTTTTGCTTGACACGCGGCGCTGCGCTGTAGAAGATCCAGTCGGACACCGTGACCTGGTATCCTGGCAATCTCAGCGATCCTTCTGAAGCACTGGGACCCACACTGTCCTGGTGCTCCGATCTTGCTGGACACGAGAGTGTCGTTGAGGTCGAAGCCGGCAACCTCAATATTGCCAAGGTTGCCCAAATATGCTGAAAACGCCGGGCACGAGAAATTCCCCCGCCTTCGCACTGGGCTTCGAAGCAGGATCCTGGCGAGCACGCTTGGTTCAGTGAAGATGGCCTTTGATTCGATGACAGGCGTCTTGTTGTTGTCTGCTGCGTATGCTTTTTTGCCGTGGATGCCGGCACGTCTGCACAAAGGTGCTAGTCACCAGCTCGTGCCAGGCCAGTTCGTGGCAGTTGAACTCTGCTTCGCGCCTCGCGAACGAGCAGCGACGGCGCAGCCTTGTGCCATGCCGGCCGCTTGGCCAAGCCGCAGAGCCGATCCATTAGCTGCGTGTGAACAGGCAGTGAGTTGGGATCTGAGTGAGCTTGAAAGAGGCTTTCCTGGAAGCTGGTCCAGGTCGATGCACAGTCAACTGCCACTCTTCGTCGCATCCACAGACTGCTGAAGCTATGCTTCATACAGCGCCAGAACATTCAGGGATTCGGCGAGTTTTGAGGCAAACCAGCTTGCAACCGGACCTGAAAGTACAGTGACACCACGTGTGCCAATGCAATTTGGCCGTTTGCCAAGGCGAGCGCTGCAGAGAACAGACAGCTAAACGGCAAGCGGTAGGCTCTCGGTGGACAGTCTGCTACAGCATTGTGCACATTGAAAACAATCAACGAATTCTAGGCCATCCGCGCTCGCACCGGTTTACCTGTGATCTTGAAGAAATCGGTTCCTGAGCGACTGGCATGGTAGCACTGCAACAGTTCCTTGATACATCTCAGCTGGAAGATCAACGCCAGCGCCGTCATGCATTCGTGTGCACCACAGGAACAAATGAGAGCATGCAGACCTATCATCATCTATCCGTGCTGTGCCATGCTCCTGGACGCCTTGCTGCTCCGGCCCTTAGTATGTCATACAAAACTCGTCCCCCAGAGCCCGTGGGGCTCGAGGCTCTGCCAGTTTGGCTTGGCTGCATGTTCCCTCACGGACTCGGGGTCCGTATGGGATGTTTATGCATCTGTAGACTGCGACACCGACGACAGGTGAACCAGAAGCGGTACAGTGGATCCCGCGCGAGGACGATCGGACAAGACGGCGATGGTCTCTCACATGCTTTGAAGGAGAAGGAGACGACCGAGAATAAACATTGCAACTTGCGTGCCCTCTTGCAAACATCAAAGCGCACGAGGTAAAGATGAAGACTGTGCTTGGCGGCGCCGGTTGGCAAGACTTGATCACAGAGTCATACAGCAATCAATGGGTAGCAATCAAGCGAGCTGCACTACAGCTTAATACAGTCTTTAAAGCTATGGCTTTGAATTCCTGGGAGAATTGAAAGGAAACAGCTCTCTCTTGTCCATAAGCTCTGTCTTTGTTTTTTTCTCACCCTTGCTTATGCTTGCTTGCTCTGTGTCTTTCTTTCTGCGGCTCTCTTTCGATCTGCCTCTGCAAGCTCTCTCTCTTTGTTTCTCGGAGGGCACCCCGCCAGGTGTCTTACTTGGACTTCGGCCGGCCAAGCAGACTCCGCAGCCGGCACCTCAACAGAACGCGGGCTCAGCTTCTTACAGAAGGCGACAGCTTCTTGCGAGTCTTGCAGACGCTTCAAGTTGCCACCCTGCTGTCTCTCGCTCGGTGGCAGGCTAATCAAAGCTTCCGTTGCAGCGATGAGTTGGTTCCGAGGGCAGAGGAAGCACGCATCTGCGGACCTGGACAAAACGTGCTTGCAGCAAGCCTGCATGGCATGTCACTGCGGGAACTCTCGAATCGTCTCGAATCCGAAGAGCTGATCTTTTCTTCACGCAGCCGCATCTCCAGTGGTCAGCAACTTTGCGCAGATATGGAACCACACGAGGGGGCGCTATTGGGACCGTAGCCTCACTTCTGCCATGGACGCAGTCAGGATGACACTGTTTGTCACGAGCGCCCGGAGCAGAGCTTGGAAAAAGCTTCAAAAGAGTGACCAGCCTTCGACAGGCTCTAGACTCTAGAACTCCGAGAGTATACAGGAGAAAAAAGAGATTTTTAGACAATCGTTATTGGAAGTGCGCCATCGCGCAAGCACCGTCCTGTACAAGTGTGCGCTTTACTCCGCATGACCCCAGTGCCGAGTGCCGTGATGCATGAGCAAGGCACGATGTGCCAGCTGCGCCGATGGCCGCAAGCCTTTCATGAGAGATGTCACGGCTGGGGACCCAGACCCGGGAGCCCGGGAGGCCTCTCTTCACAGCTCATGCTTGGGCACCGTGGGCGACTAGAAGTTGAAGGCTGGCCTAAAAGCGTGAGGCAATCAGGAGGCTACGAAACACCGCTCGCCGCTCGGCACCGGCCTCCTGCTTGTTAAGCTGGGCCACGGCCAGGGGCGTCTGGCCCTGTGCATTCCGCTGGTTCACGTTGATGCCCACCTGCCCCAAGAAGGAACGTGTACGAACGCGCGACGCGCAAGGAGAGGACGCGGCTTCTGTTGCCGCGTCGGGGCCTTGAGGAGATATTCCAGGAGCTCCTTGCGGCCGTAGCCAGCGGCGTAGTGAAGCCCGCTGTTGCCTTCACACCACGCGGACTGCGATCGCGGATAGTGGAGCAACGGAGCATACCAGAGCAAAGCTGGGCGTCTGACCATTGCTGTCGACCGCAAAGGGATTCGCCCTGCTGTCCAGGAGCAGCTTCACCTTCGAACACAAGAGGACATTAACATGGAGCCCACCATAGTTCATTCGGTGCAATGCCACGTTTACTTTGGCATCTTATATGCATCGGAGCTGCCACGGCGATACGGTTTGAGCCGATAGCATAGCCCAGTGCCGTGATGCCTTTGTGGTCCTGACATCGAGGCAACGAAGAATTCCTCGTTGGCAGCGATTGGCTCTGACAGCGGCCTGGGAGTCCAAGGGCTTCTTCTTCTGCAGAAACTCCTCACACACGGGGGGCTGTGCCACAAACAAAGTGGGCTGGAGAGTCAGCTGCTGTCTGAACTCGCAGGTGAAAGCGGAGAAGCTAGTGTACTAAGTAAACCGCTTGGACCCAAGAAGGAAGAGCTCCAACTTATCGTCTCAAGAACCAAGCTCCTGCACAGCTTTGAGATCACCGTTCTTGGCTGCCTGCACGCGGGGCACCGGGCGATGCTGTGCGAGCCTGCTGTCAACCCTCGCCTCATGGAGCGTGAGAGGGGTCTCCTTGGCAGCCAAGCGCTGGGCAGAGGTGCAAAGCCGAGAGGGAGAAACAGAGAGAGAGAGAGTCAAATAGAGGGAGGGCGGGGAACGGACGCACGTATGTCATGTCAGTACCTCTGGAAGTTTGATACAGGGATGTAGCTGTACGTAGCGCACAGGCGCGCGCAACTTTGTTTAATAGGTATATGCATGTCACCCCAAAAAATGGGAGGGGCCGGGCAATGTACGTGCGGGGGGCGGGGGGCCGGGGCAAGGTGCGTGAGTATGCCTTGAGGTTTGGCAGGGGGAAGTGTCCCGGAGACGGGTTTGGTTTGCTGGTGGCCTGCAATTTTACAAAAGTGGCATGTCACTCACGTACGTTTGCATACGCAGGTAGTACTTGCGTAAATATCTCACAGGGGATATGCCGTGCTGACATATGTATGTACACCCACCCCCGGACGCATTTTGTGAGAGGGTGGGGCGTTGTACGTGTGCACCTTGGAGTTCCCACTTAATGGCATGTGTGTGTGTATATATATAT